ATATGCATCCGAAGAAGTGGGCTGTAGTCCACGAAAGCTTATGCTCTAATAAATTTGTTAGTCTCTAAGGTGCCACAAGTCCTCCTGTTCTTCTTTTTAAAGGAAAGTGAATGATGGATTCTGCATAGCCCTATTCACAGGCCAAACGCTCCGATGAATAAATATTTGTGCTAAAAATCTGTGAAACCCTTCTGGCTTCATGATCATTTTCATGAATACTCAACAGTTGCCTGCACACTGGGGAGAAATGAAGTCTTTGTTAAAGATCTAACATCTCTGCCTGCTCAACTAAGGTGTCAGATCTGACAATACCCATCTCTGAGACCATCCAAGGAGTCCTCCAGCAAAACGGGCCTGGCTATTCCAGATACTGTTGCCCATTCTGATGATTTTATTGTAAGTCTCATGATATTTTGTGCTTTTCTTTAGGGCTGTTGATTAATCGCAGTTAACTCACGTGATTAACTCAAAAATATTAATTGCGATTTTAAAAATCGCACTTTTAATTGCACCATTAAACAATAGAATACAAATTGAAATTTATTAAATATTTTTGGATGCTTATCTACATTTTCAAATATATTGATTCCAACTGCAACACAGAATACAAAGTGTACAGTGCTCACTTTATAGTATTGTTTTTTATTACAAATATTTGCACTGTAAAAATGATTAAAAAAAAGAAATCGTGTTTTTCAATTCACCTCATGCAAGCACCATAATGCAAATACCTTTATCATGAAAGTGCAACTTACAAATTTGGAGTTTGCATCACTGCTTATATTTCTAAGCTAGAAAAAAATATTGAAAAACAAAAGCCTTTCAGGGCTGAGAAAGGAGCTGGACTCAAATTTAAACAGAATCCTTTGTTGGTCTCCTGTATTATTAAAGGTTTCAGAGTAGCAGCCGTGTTAGTCTGTATCCGCAAAAAGAACAGGAGTACTTGTGGCACCTTAGAGACTAACAAATTTCTAAGGTGCCACAAGTACTCCTGTTCTTTTTGTATTGTTAAATCCACCAAAACTTTGGAATGTCCCCTAGACACGTCATCTTCTTCCACCAAACTCCCCTAAATGGCCTTCCCTCTTAAGCCACACCCACTCTGTATCCTCCAAGGTACTCCTTGATCTTCCATTCCCTGCTACTGTTCCCTCAACCCTCCTCATAGACGCCCAGGGCCTGATTTTTCAGAGGCGCTTGGCGTTTGCGGCTCCCACTGTCTTTAACTAGAGGAGTGGGAGCTCAGCATCTCTGAAAATCAGACCTGTAGGGTTTTCCCACTGCCTCACTGCTACATTAGGTCCCCTCAGATTGCTGGGCCCAGATCCCAAGAAACCTGCCTTATACACTCCCCTGAAGTCACAGCAGGTACTGGAGAGAAGAAACAAGCATGTGATGCAAGGAAATTATATGATTTCAGTCCACAAGGGGGCAGCAGAGTCTCTCCCACCTGGAAGGTCCCTACCTGCAACGCACACAGCTGAGTTCCGCTCACAGATCAAAGAGCAGAAATTTGCCCCAAATATGAAAAAGTAAATGAGGAAATTAAGGGTTTCTGTTTTTCAGCAACTAGGGAGGATGGCCAATTCAGATCCAGTTTTTATATTTGTCTTGGGACTAATTCGAGAGACAAGGTGGGTGCGGCAATATCTCTTCTTGAGCCAGTTTCTGTTTGAGTTTGTCTCTCGTCCCAACAGAATTTGGTCCAATAAATTACCTCGCCCACCTTGTCGCTACATCCTGGGACCGACATGGCTACAACCCCACTGCAAACAACTGGGAATAGTCAGACATTCTTTTAACATATTTCAGGCCCATTTTAATTTCCAGACTCAATCATAATAATAATGCTTTGCGGCTTTTGCACCAACGTCGCAAACACTGATTAAGGCATGCAGCCGTCTGCTAGGTGGGCAAGTCTCACTGTCCCTTTTGAAAGAGGAAATGGAGGCACAGCGGGGATACAGGAAGTCTGAGGTAGAGTCAAGAATCGGCCCCAAGAGTCCTGACTCCTGGGGTATGTGTACACAACTTGAGCCTAACCCCCCTTGAGGCCACGCACCAATTGTGTTAACGTAGCGCTCAAACCAGGACCCTCAGGGGATGGAGGATCCAGGCCTGTGTTAAAGTGGGACCTAGAGTCCAAGCCCTGTTGCTTTCCTATATGCACGTGGTCTCAGCTTGACTTGGGTCCCACCAGTCCTCCGGATGTATCCCAGAGTTCCTTGGGGGCAATTTCCTTAGTCCTCTCTATGCCAACAATCCGGGGTGCAATTTCTTGCACTCTATTGCAGAGGGCAGCAGCTCCGATCAGCGTTAACCACCTACTGTCTGCTGAACCCCAGGCTGCAGGCACGTTACCTGCCGGGTTTGCAATGGAGACTGATCAGAGACTCTTTGCAAAGAGAGCTGCTTCCTGGTCACAAGAGCACGGCCAGATTTTGGTGCACACGGCCTGGGGAAGTGGAGTGGGGACCAAGCAGCTGCCCTGTTGGGAGCAGGCGGCTGAGCTCCCAGCTCAGCATGGATGGGGGAGCTGAACCCCAACACCCCAGCCACTCCCCATCCCTGGGACTAGGGGTGCTGGGGCAGCATGCACTGTCAGGGCGAAGAGTGGGAGTCAGCCCCAAAACTTCCCAGCAGCCTCCACGGGACCAGCTGCTGCTGTGCAGCGCTTGCCCAGAGCAGGGAGCAAAGCTGACAGGCGGGAGGTGGCGCCTGGTGCCAGGATGTTGGGGGACAGCTGGGAGCTCTGCTGCTCTCTCTCTCTGCCGGGCAGCCAGTTGGTCCTGCTACACCCCCTGTCCCTTGCTCCTGGCCCCCCCATGCTCCCTGGGGCTGTGTGTGCTGAGGCAGCGTGCACTGTCAGGCTGGTGAGCGGGTGCCAGCCCCCAAACTCTCCCACAGCCTCCCGGGGATCCCTTAGCCCTGCCTCTCAGGCTGTGGTGGGGGCAGGGAGAAGGGATCCTGGGGTGGGGCTGGAGCACACTGCACCCCAACCCCTGGGGATGCACTTCACCGCTCCGCGGCTGGCAGCAGCCAGCCTGTGTTTTTCCTCTGAAACCTGCATTTTATGGCAAACTTCAAAACCAACGGACAAAAATAAATAAAAAAATAAAAAAAACCCAATCACCCAAGCCCCCTTCACTGACCAGCCCGCTTTAAAATTCAGAACTACACGGTTCATTTGACTAGTTTCCCAGTCCTGGTGCCTGATGTGCTAATGATCCTCAGGACCGGCACACCTGGGCATTTTCCAGCCAGCATGACTCCACCTAGGGGTGCAGAGCCCAGTTCTCAGGTTAGATGGTAGGTCAGTACAAAGCCTTCTCACGACTGCCACAGCCATCAAAGGAGTTCATGATGTGCTGTACGGACTCCTGGGCTCCTAAGGGGGCACCCATGTCCCATCAATAGCACCACGGCAGTTAGCAAACCGGGGAGCAGTAGAGTTTTCCCACAGTGCAACACATTCATAGGGCTAGAGTGTCAATGCTAGGGGCGGGGGCGCTAGGCACTCGGGGGTAGGATTACTTTGACTCGGATCTGTGCACTGCAGTGTGGATGCCAGAGCCTTAGATTTGAGCATGGATTAGAATATCCTTAACCCAGGGTTAAAATGCAGTGTAGACGCTCAAGCCCAGGGTTCCCTGACACAGGTCAGCTGACTTGACTCCCACTAACTCTAGGCTTACACTGCTGTGTAGACATACCCCCCCCATCTTCCCTAATGGCTAGCCCACGCTTTCAAAAATGTTGATACAGGTATATCTACCTCTCTAGTATAGAGACCATCTCAAATGATCATGCCTATGCTGGATCAAGCGAAGCCTTCTGTGATATTGACCTCCCGGTGAAGTGCGTTGAGACCAGCTGATGAAAAGCACGATACAAGAGCTAGGCGCTAGTATTGATTTTATGATATGACACTTATTTCATCTCGTCATCTCTAGAAGCAGCATTGAAAACATGAGCCCTAGATCGACAGCGTGAACAAGACAGGTTCGAGATAGTGCCGTGCTGGCGCCTCCAAACAACTCAACATGACACCATGGGTAAAATGACAGCAGCTGCCCGACTGCTTTCAACCCTAGCCCGTCCTCCAGGTGGGGAAATGTACCAGTGGTGGGAAAGTTTAGGATGAAAAGGCAAGTGGGAGGAAGGCTGGGTCAGCGGTCAGGGGATTAAACTCAGACTGAGGAGAGCTGGGATCATTTCTCTGCCGTTCTACAGCCTTCCTCTGTGACCTTGGGCAAGTCACTTAGTGTATTGGCTACACAAAACCCCAGAGCCTGGGTCAACTGATTCGGGCTTGTGGGGCTCGCAGAGGAGGGTAAAAATAGCAGTGTAGAGATAGTCCCTAGGCAGACCGTGGGCCAAAT